CGGCAAGAGGGCGCCGATCGACATGTTACACATCGACATGTGCGGCGGGTACACGGCGACCATCGGCGGCAACCACTACATGCTCTTCGGTGTGGACGCCGCCACGGGCTGGATCTTGTGCTAATCATGCGGCTGAAGACGGTGGCGTTGGCGGTCTTCAAACCCCCCCCCCCCCCCCCCGGTATGGGAGAGGAGAGGCTACCGAGAATAGCTTAGGAGGCGAAGTGGTTAAGCAAGAGGAGGGGTACACAACCCACGGAGTGGGTCAAGGTTTTAGATGACGTATGGAAGGAGATCGAAATTGACGAAGGTGAAACGCTGGAAACGGAAGGTCTAGACGGGTTCAAGGAGAATATATCAGTTTCTTTTGCCGAGAGAGAAGAACATAATCCAACCAAATAAATCAAGGATAAGGACGGTTCTTGATGTGTACGGAATGTTGAAAGAAGGAATAGGGTTCAAGTAGTACCTACATGGACCAATGGATGCAGGGAAGCTGAAGGTCAAATTCAGGACCGGGGACATCGGCCTTCGAGAACGTAGACAAAGATTGAGGAAGGTAGACGATGAAGACGACAAGTTCAAATGCGATTGCGGAATGTTGGATACACAAGGAGGAGAGGGAAGTGTACATGACATGACATGACCGAGCTGGGAAACATAAAAGGAAGATGCAGGGAGATGTTTGAGGTACGGAATAGGCAGGAGAAGATGGCAGCTGTACTGGGACATTGGAAGTGGGTTGAAAAGGCGGGAAGCGACATCGACGGGATAGATGGACTAGGTAAGACATTGTTGAGCCTCCTTTGGCGAAGTAGGTGGGAACGATTGGCCATCGGTGATCTGTCCTGTGGGAACAATGCTCCGTCCTCTCGAGGACGGGTGGTCAATGGTCTAACCACTACAAAGCATGCAAAACATAAGAGTACGCCTCCCCCCCCCTCCCCCCTCGGCGCGGCCCAACCGCCTCTATCGCGTGCAACAACACTCACTTCATCCTCTGATACAGCGTCGCCAGCAGCTGGGGCAGGTGGTCCATCGCCCGAAATAGCCTGCCGACCCCCCCCCCCCCT